GTGCTGGTGGGAGCGGCCGGCCGGGGCGGGCTGACCCTCCGCTGCCCTCACCTCGCCGCCCCTCCTTCCAGAGCATGGGCATCTGCTTCGTGGGCAAGAGGAATTTTGAAAAGTTCATCCTCCAGGTGAGTGGCCACGCTGCGGGGACGGCCCCCCTGCCCGGGCCAGGCCACCCGCAGTAACGTGTATGTTCAGTACCTACAGCCGCGGCCCGGGCACTTCATCTCCATAGAAGACGGCACTGTGCTGGGGACACACAGAGGTGAGACCAGCCTCCGCTGCTCTTGGTCGTGAACCCTGGAGTGGGGGGCACAGGGCAGCTCAGCAGCCGGCTGTCGGTCCCTTAGCTCGGGAGTCAGCTGCGGGCGGGTGGGGGAGGCATGGGGGCGGCGGCGTTGACATGGCTCCTGCGTGTGGCAGTGGCAGCAGGAGGGTGACCACCTGCCAGGGACAGAACTGCCGGCGCCCCCGCCCGTCCTGCCGCCCACTCAGTGAGGTCGCTGTGGTGATCTGTGTGTCGTGGGAGGGAGGAGAGGGTGGAGAGGGGCCTGGCGTCTGGTGTTGTGGTTGATTGTGGGGGTGCCCAGAGGTAGTCGGGAGGGATTGGGTACAGAAGCCAGGGGCAGCCCTGCTGTGGGCCGTGCATGGGCGGGAGGCTCCTCTGTCACCGCAGCCGCATGGCAGCTCAGCACGAGGGGCCCAGCCCCTTCCGGGGGAATCGCCTGCTGCCTGGCCTGGTGCCCACAGGGCTCCGTGCAGGGGCGAGGCACCCGGGCCCGATGAGGGATGGACGCACTCAGGCTCAGGGCTGACCTGGAGTTGGAACCCCGGCCTCTCCGGTGGCCCCTCGGTGTCCGCGGAGCCCCGCCCCCCGTCCCCTGTCGGCGTGGGGTGGTTGGGGGGACCGTGCCCCTCACTGAGAACGTCCCGTAGGGTGGTTCCTGTACACGTTAGGCCAGAGGGCCAGGATCGGTGGCCTGCGCGAGCCCTGGTATGTGGTGGAGAAGGACGGCGCCACGGGTGACGTGTTCGTGGTGAGTGGCTGGCCCCGCAGGCACTGCCGAGCCTGCTGGCAGAGCCCGTGTGAGGCTGATGGGCGTCCTGCCTCCTGCACCCCTGGGCCGGCCCCGGAGGGAGGGTGTCGTTCACAGTGTCCCTGGGCTCTCCCGGGCGCTGGTCACTCCTGAGCCACATCGGCCCCTGTGCGTAGATGCCGTTCCTCTGAGGTAACGAGGACACGCCAGGTGGTTGGGGTGAAGGCCCGAGGAGAGGAGGTGGCGTCAGGGCCTCGACGGGCTTGCACGCAGGGTCCCGCCGTCTCTGCGGAGCAGTGGCAGGTCGTGGGGTCGGTGCGCGGCGCCCCTGCTGGCGAGTGTGGCCGGGACCTGTGCCTAGTTCCGCTTCTGCAAAACGGGTCAAAGGCCCTTGAGGGCGTCCCTGGCATTTCCACTGCGGACACTCAGCGCTGGCTGTTAGCGTTGTTGAGAGGGGCAGCGAGGCCGCTCCGCTCAGGGCTCCAGGCTGCCACGGTCCTCGGTTTCCCTGCAGGCCCCCCGGACGGACCACCCGGCCCTGTACAGGGACCTGCTGCGGACCAACCGCGTGCACTGGATCGCGGAGGAGCCGCCCGCAGCCCTGGTCCGCGACAAGATGATGGAGTGCCACTTCCGCTTCTGCCACCAGATGGCGCTAGGTGACAGCGGTGGGATCCCCGGAGGCCTTGGGCTGGGCAGCTGGGCAGCAGAGCCCATGGTTGGGATTGTGTGGCATTCCAGCCCCTTCCCGCCAGCCACTGGGAGGCAGGCCCTGGCGCAGAGCCCAGCTCCGCTTATTCTGGGAGGAGGAAGGGAGGGTCCTGGGAAGGCAGGGCCTGAGGCTGCCCACACAGGCCAGGCCAGTGCCCCTCAAGGCCCCCCTCTGCCTCCAGTGCCCTGCGTGCTGACCCTCAACCAGGACGGCACCGTGTGGGTGACGGCGGTGAAGGCGGTGCGGGCCCTCGCCCTGGGACAGGTGAGTGCAGCCTGGCCGCGCTCTGCCCAGAGGGAGGCGGGACTCCGGCCCCTGGCCCGGCCCTGGCGTGGCGGCGGCTCTAGCCCGCGCTTAGCGGCCATTAGGTGGCGCCCACGGGCTGGTGGCCAGGCTTCCGGCGGGAAGGGCAGCACTGTTCCTCCCACCCGAGCACCTGGGCACAGGCCGGGCCGTGAGCTGGGCCCCGCCTGCACCTGCCTCCTCTCCCAGGCACGGCCCTGCTGGCTTCACCCCGGGTGGGG